GGACCTGAGACAATTAGAGGGCTGGATTCTCACTCAGTAGCCCTTCTTATAACCTATTCTAAGATTTGATCCTCAAACATGCCATGTCCTTAAATTTGGTTTATCCAGAACTGATGGTTCTTAGAAATTGAATAATCGCCACCAGTTATGGTCAAGTTGATCCTGACTCATGGTGACTCCACGTGGGACAAAATAAAGCAAAGCTACATAGGGTTTCCAGTGGATGGTTTTTCAAAGTCAATATGCGGGCCTTTTCTTTGTGAGGCTCTTCTGGGTGGACTAAAATGTCCAAACTTTCAGTTAACAGGTGAGCGCATTAACCACTTCCACTATTCAGGCGTTTCTTAGAAATTACATGGGCGTTAAATGACTTTACAATGAAAATGGGAACTATCACTCGGAGGCTATGAAGGTCATTCATGCTGTTTGCAAACGTTTCTACTCTACACCTCTCAGACACACTGGGGGCCAAACTTTCTGTGGTTAAGCAGCACTGAAGTCTGGTTCTGACTGAGGACTTATACTTGGCAGAGAGGGTTTCTTTGCGGAATCCCCAGAGCTCTCCAGCTCTGTCACTGGTGGCTGCTTTCTTAGCCTGGCTTCCAAGGAACAGATGGGCAGAGTTCTCTGCCAGCCTAACGTGAAGTTGAACAAGAAATAAATCATATCTTCTTATGTCACTGAGCCTTGGAAGTTTGTTGGGTAGAATTGGGATAATGATAGGGGGGGGGAACAGTTAGGAACTAGAGGGAAGTTGTATGTTTCATAGTTCCTACATTGCTCATCTGACTGGCTCATCTCCCCCCCACCCCACCCCAAGACCCCTCTGTAAGGGGATGTCCAGTGGCCTATAAATGGGCTTTGGGTCTCCACTCCACACACCCCCTCATTCACAATGATATGGTTTATTGTTCTGATGATGCCTGATACCTGATCCTTTTGACACCTTGTGATCGCACAGGCTGGTGTGCTTCTTCCATGTGGGCTTTGTTGCTTCTGAGCTAGATGGCCGCTTGTTTACCTTCAAGCCTTTAAGACCCCAGACACTATATCTTTTATAGCCAGGCATCATCAGCTTTCTTCACCACATTTGCTTATGCACCCTTTTGTCGTCAGCTATAGTATCAGGGAGGTGAGCATACAATGATAGATATGATTTTTTGTTCTTGGATGCCTGATAACTGATCCCTTTGGCACCTCGTGATCACACAGGCTGGTGTGCTTCTTCCATGTGGGCTTTGTTGCTTCTGAGCTAGATGGCTGTTTGTTTACCTTCAAGCCTTTAAGACGCGAAATGCTATATCTTTTGCTAGTCGGGCACCATCAGCATCACCATATTTGCTTATGCACCCGCTTTGTCTTCAGTGATTGTGTCAGGAAGGTGAGCATTATAGAATGCCAATTCAATAGAAGAAATAGAAGAAAGTATTCTTGCATTGAGGGAGTACTTGAGTGGAGGCCCAATGTCCTTCTGCTACCCTAATGCTAAATCTATAAATATATGCACATAAATCCATTTCCCCATCCTCAAATATAAATATATTTACATATGTAGATGCCTTTATTTAAACCTCTATAAATGCCTTCTGCCTCCTAGCTCTTTCCTCTATTTCCTTTGACTTTCCTCTTGTCCCACTATCATGCTCAGTCTTCATTTGGGTTTCAGTAATTCCTCTTGGCTGCATTAACCTCGATCACGCCCTACCAGGCCTCCTATACCCTCCTCACCACAGATCCGGATCACCCATTGTTCCCCTGTCCCTGGGCTTGTCAACACCACTACTACCTTTCCCCCCACCTCCCCCTCTCCCATGTTCCCCCAGAACTGCCGATCCAGTCTTTCTCCCCACCAGACCATCTGTCTAGCCCATCTTATTTAGACAGACCCACGGAGACAACAACATGCACAAAAACAAGACAGAGAAAGACCAGGCAACAATATACAACAAAACAACAACAACAACAAACCACTGAAAAAAAGACCCAAAACAAAACACGAGAAAGAAAAGCTTGTAGTTAGTTCAAGGACTGTTTGTTGGCCTTTAGGAGTGTTTTCCAGTCCAGTCCATTGGGGCACCAAGCCCTGGCCCCAAAGTCCACCTTTGCCACTCCCTGGGGACCTCGCCGCTCCATTCCCTTGCTGCTCTCACTCCCCTCAGCATGGCAGGATCTGATCGGGCGCAACTCCCACACTGTGTCTCCGGTGCTGTCTCCCGTAGGGCTATGGGTCAGTGAGGGACGTAGTGTCTCATAGTGGGGCCGGCCATGTGGTCCTCTCTGTGGACTGGCTGCTCTAATCGGGAACATTGTCCTCAAGGACCAAGCCTTTCTTCAAAGCTATCTCTGGGTAGACTAGAAACCCAACCTTCATTAACAGTTGAGCACATTAACCCTTGGAAATATCTAAGTAATCCTGCTGTCCTTTAATGCTCACAGATTTCCTTTAATTGCGCTTGCCCTTTGATTTGAAGTCATCCAGTATGCTCTATTACGTATCTGCAGTTTAGAATGAAATGAAATGAAATGAAATATGTAAGAACTGCTTTCTCCCCTTTCATTCAAGCCGACTCCCTAGTTTGTCACTGAAGCAGGCCCCTGTAGGCAGTCTCTGTGAAGTTCGAGAACAATTGGAATTCACTATTCAAATTATTTTATGACTTGCTTTTATATTTAGTTTTTCCCTTATCTTTTTGTGTCAGGATATATCAATATTCCCATTTCTTTTTAATGACTGCCAAGCTCCCCGTCTCATAGATTTACCATACTTCATTAGCTAGTTTTCTATTTGTAGACAGTTTTGTTCTTTTCCAACCTTTTGATATTGTTAACAATGCCTCAGTGGACAGCCTCATAAAAATATATCTCTTGTGTACTTGTGCACGTTATTTTGGAAGGAAAAATCCTAGAAGGTGAGTCCTGGAGCAAAGATTGTGTACAGTTTAAATGAGGATAAATAATACCAAATCTCTTGTCAATTTACATTCCTGCAAACCAGGGGTAGTTTACCCAACCATTTACTTAATCTGTGGTAAACAATTTTATGTGGGTTCAAAGATATGGTGGGAAAGCATGTTAAAGTGTTCAGGTTAGTAAGGTTAAGCTCAGGTAAGCCTGTGTCTAACTTGCTTACTGGATGCTCCATCCCTGTTAGGAACCATATTTTGAAAAGAAGTTTTGATTTTGTAGGAAGGTCCTATAGGATGCAGAGAGCGCCAGATGCCAACCATACCTAGAAGCAGAATTTTTGGTGTGCTGGGGGAAAAAAAAGAAGAAATTGTTCACTACAGATGAATAAGTAAATACAAGTGAATGTGTGCTTACTTAGCTTTTTGGGTAATCTGGCATGGCCACCCATACAATGGGTGTGGGGGAGGGGTAGTTACCAAAGTGCTTTAGTCTCTGCCATTTGAGTCATGGAAGATATTGAGCTGTCAACTTAAAAAAATGTCTTTGACTGTAAGTTTGTGCTTGTCGTTTTTAATTTATTTTTGTTTGTAGTTCATTTTTAACAGCTTTATTGGCATATATTTCACATATCACACCATTAAATAGTGAAGTTGCATCAAGAAGAGATGTACAGTTATCACCACAATCAGTTTTAGAGCATTTCCTTTGTTCTTGTACTTACTGTTATTAGCTCCCCGTTTCTCCTTAACTTTCCCGACCATACCCTCAGGGAACCATTAATCCAATTACGATCTCTATATTTATCTATCAAGATTTCATATACAGAACAACATTAAAAATAATACAACAAAAACAAAATAAAACAAAAAACCTCAATCAAAAAGAAAGCAGAAAATATTAAAAATTAGAACAAATTTAAAATAGATCTTAAGGGAGATCAAATGGCGGTCAAATAATAAGGTATTAAATTTTAACCTAACTGAATCTGCAATAATCCACTTTCCAATGTATGCTGTGTGACAGGGAGACTATGCAGATCCCTGGACCTTGGTCAGAGAGGATTCACCAGAGGCTTAATCCACCTGTATTTCCCTTCACTCTTTTTTCTTTAAATTTATTAACACCATTGGTCAAGTATGACTGAAGATCTGGATGTCATCTTTCTCTACAAGGTCATGTCTTAGCTATCTAGAACAGAAATACTGCGAGTGGCTCAGGGAGCCTCTCTCTGCCAACTCTGGGAGAAGGTCTTTGTCTCCTTTCAATATCTGTGGCCGTGGCGTCTGTGGATACCTCCATTGTGTCTTGGCGTCGATCTTTTCTTGGGTCTAAGATGTTCTCAGCAAAGGGCACTGTGTACAAAGGAAGAACTCCAGTCCTGGCTCTTTCTATTGAGGTAATAGGTCCCAATTCTCTGTTTCTCAATCATTTTCTCTCTTGTAAAATAACAAGTGATATAAGCCACACCAATGATATGGAATCAGGGCTTATGAATGGTATGTAAGTAATGATGATAAGCCACACCCTAATTCTGCCTTATGAACACAAAAAAAGATGATCTAATTCTCTTTAACATGACCTAATCCTGTCTCATTAAGTCCAGGCAGGGGTAAAGAGTTGTAAAAAATTATAAAATATAGGATAATCACACAAATACTAGGAATCATGGACTAGCCAAGTAGACATACCTGGCGGGGCAGAAACAATTTGATCCGTGACAAATATATTGATTGTTTGGGGTTTTTTTTGCTTGAGTCTGAGGGAATAATCTATATCTAAGTACTAAGGAAGCACCACACACTTGTTGGTCATCTTATTTACCTACGTCATTTCTAAGACCATGATATCCATTATAACTGGGGTATTTTCCAATGTTATCATCCCAGGCAAAGGCACTGGGATGCTGCTAGGCTTTTAACCTCTCAAACTAGTCAGTCTAATTGATGTCTTTTTCTTTCTTTTTTTTTCCCCCCTCTCCTAACTGCAGCAATTCAGCTTTGTGTCCTTGCCCACTGATGTGCTGGAAATTGAGGTGAAGGACAAATTTGCCAAGAGTCGCCCTATCATCAAGCGCTTTTTGGGAAAGTTGTCAATGCCAGTTCAGAGACTCCTGGAGAGACACGCCATAGGGTAAATCCTTGATGGAAACTTCACATCATTTGTATTCAGCTAGCAGGCCAGGCCCAAGAGAAGCCTGTAGAATCCAGCCGCCTAGAGACTCACACACTCATAGTATCGTTTAATGTCCCTGAGACCTAGCGCTGCCATGGTCCAGCACTCAGTTGCTAACTGAAGATCCAGTAGCTAGACTCCATCAGCGGTTCTGTGGAAAAAGATGGTGCCATCTGCTTCCATGAAAGATTGTAGCTTTGCAAATCCTATGGCTCTGCTCTGCCCATTAGGACTTTTATGAGTCAGAATCAACCGGATGAGAAAGGACTTATCTCCCGGGCTTCTTTTCATTTCTTACATTGCTTGAGCCACAGCACTCAATCAAACTGTTCCTTTGCCCTTTGTTTATAAATCACTTGGCTCCGGAGCCCTAGTCATGTGATGCGTTAGATGTTGACCTGCTACATGCAAGGTTGGTGGTTCAAGATGACCAGCTGCTCCTCGAGAGAAAGATAAAGGAGCCTGCACCCACTTGGGAAATCCTATATTGGGTCACTAGGAGTCATAATCAACTAAATGACTGTAGGTTGTGTTTGGGTATTTACACATCAGAGTAAACAAATCTAAGATATAAAAAGAGGCACTTATCATCCAAATGGCTAAAAAACACATGAAAAAAAATGTTCATGATCATTAGTTACCTAGAAGATGCAAATCATAACAACTTTGAAATAGCACCTTGCACTGACAATGACAGCCTAATTTAAAACAAACAAACAAATGCTGGAATGGATACAGAGAAATTGGAACTTTCATAAACTGCTGGTAGGTTATAAATATGTGCAACAATGTTAGAAAGCAATATGGCATTACCTCCAACAACTGGAAGAAGGAATCATTGCGTACAATCAAGTAATATTTTTTCCTAGGTGTATACCTTAAATAAGTAAGTCACAACATAAACAGATATATGCACTCCCATGTTAATCGCAGCACTGTTGACAATAACAAGAAATTGGAAACAGCTCAAAAGCTGTTAGAGTGGTAGCATTCAAAATTAGTAGTAACATACAAAAGTAGAATGGGTAAAGAGACTTTGATACATACAAACAATGACATACTACATGACCTTAAAGAGTAATGATGAATCTTTGAAGCACCTCTAACATAGCTGAGCCTAGAGGGCATCATGTTGAGTGAAATTAGTCCATCACAAAAGGACAAATATTGTAAGAGACTTCTCTTACCATGGACAGGAGAAAAAGAGGGAACATAAAATACAAAGTAAAAGGTAGAGAGGTGTTAACTTGGGTGAAGGAGAAGACAAAATGCTAGAGGGAGGTGGATAAAAGATGTCGCAGGGCAAGATGTTGGGTGATTTGCAAAAGTTAGAAGCAATAGAGGAAAATCCTGATATATACACAATGTTGCAACAGTAGTGACCTACAAGTAGATGCTTAGATAGATATGCAACCTGACAAGTACATGAAGGAAAACGGGCATATACCCATGAAAAAATATTTGATAGAGGATAGCTCTGTATGTGTACTTATCTTTGCTAATATATCCATAAATGTGGTGGAACATATTGAGGCAAAATTATGAATACCTATTAGACAAGACAAAACTCCTGGAGGGAGTACGTTGCTATGCGTGGGGAGCAGGACCAGAGACTCGGGAGACAACACGATTTATTGGCATGACGCAGTTCCCAAAGACAATACTCTGTACCCTTCCTGGGTGTGTCGCAAGTAGGATCTTAAGTGTCCATGAGCAACTATCCGAGGTGCCGCCATTGGTCTTTCTCCATCCAGAGGACAGCAGAGTGACGAAAATCAAAAGAGCCATGGAAATCATTCATCCAGTGGAGGGAGGAACCACACAAAGATCAGTCGCCACCACCCTGAGACCAGGAGACCTAGATGATGCCCAGCAGCTACCCTCATGTTCTCTGAGAAGGATAACATGACAGCGGTCTGGATAGAGAGAGAGAAGCATTGAGAACAATGCTCAAAACCCTAAAAGAGGCCAGGCTTACTTGTTAGCTAGAGATGGATGAGGCCCCCTGGAACTGTGGCTCTTTACCCATCAGGTCTGCAACGGAACTCACCCCTATGGTGACTGATCAACCATTTAAGAGTGCATCTACTCAAGGACAATGCACAGAGGCTTCGGAAAGAAGGGAGAACGAAAGCAGGAAACACAAGCAGGAAGTGGGATGAGTGATGATACGCTGAGGAATTGCAACCAATAATTCACACAATATATAGAAGAATGGTTAAATAGAAAAGTAATGATCTGCTCTGTTTACCTTCATCCAGTTCACAATTATTTTAAAATAAATGAAAGAAACTTTTAAGGTGGTATTTTTTTGGTATAGGTAGAAATTAAAGCTTATTTTCTATAAGAATGTTATTTCATTCATATGCTTGTGTTGTGTGTAGAATTTAATCACTTGTGACATTCCATAACAAGATGAAATGCTAGGTTATGATAGTGTCTTAAATCATGCTAGCATTTATAGAGCATACTAGATAATATGAAAATTAAAAAGCGTGAATTCTCATGGCATGATAGCAATGAGGTTGCTCACTGAATTCAATTGTGCATGGTAATATATTTATGTGTTTTATATCTTGTACATTCATGCCTACTCATGGTTTTTATTAAAGTGATCTTTGATCAGATCAAATTCTTATATGTGTAATATGAATCTCCTTCATCATCAGATCAAATTCTTATATGTGTAATATGAATCTCCTTAGGTAACAGCAACTATGTTTGAAAATAAGTGCATGATAATGAAATGATATGGATTCAGTACAGATGAGTAAGGAAGCACCAGTAAGCCTATGCTAACTTTGCTTAATGGGCACTTCATCCCACTCAGGAACTGTAAATGTGAAGGGGAAGGTACAGTTGGATTGGGAGAGAGACAGATGCCAGCCACACCTAGAAGCAGAATTTTATTGTACAGTGGCAACATGTGAAATTGTTCATTACGGATTAGTAAGGAAGCAGAAGTAAGCAGGTGCTTACTTTGCTTTTTGAGTCATCCAACATGCTCCCACTGCGGCTTCTCGGTGACCCCAGCAAAGCGCTCTCAACCAGTCACCCACCATCCATTGCCTTGGAAATGTGTTGGTCCAGTGACGGTGGCTGCCCCCAGACTTCAGATAATTTCTCCTTTCCTTTGTAGACATGCATGCATTCTCATTTCCAATGTTCCCTCGATTTCTTTATTAATAACCCACTCCTCTGCTGACCCTGACTCTATTAAAGACTGCTACCCACTACCATTTCAACTTCATGTGGCAAATGTCATCAGCGTCCTGAACCCATCTTTAGTGACCCTACAGATTTCCCTCGCTCGATATAACCTAATTAAAGGCAGAGACTATGAATTATGTGCTTTTATTAACTGTAGCAAAGGAAAGAAAAACTAGGAAAACATTTGCAAAGCATTAAAAAAAAAATCTAATTTTGATCGCACCAGTGGGTTGTCCTTAGGCCTCCTCTGGTTTCAATTGGGTTTGGGTTCAGCCTGTCTTTCTTACAGCCATAGTAGACCTGCTTCGTCATACGGCTCTTTCTACACAAACAATACACTGTCATGCATTCTAATTTTGCTGGATATACTGCTCTGTTTAATAGATTTTTGAGTGTCCAAATGCTAAATGATGGCTTATCAATGAAAATTGATCCAGAATATCATGAGGATATAGGCAAGGGGGCCTCAGAAATGGTGTAAAAATGTCATCATCTTTCCCATGAGCTTTTTGTAGCCCCCTCTCATGTTGTTTGTTTCATCATGTTTGTGTTTTCTGGAGAGACAGATTTAAACACTCCCAACCCGTAATTTCTCTTTTTATTGGAATGTCACAAGTGCATAAATGTACCGAATGCAGAACCATCTGGATGCTAACTGGTTTGGGGATTGTGTCTTATTATTGCGGGGTACACTAGATTTGGTCATTCCTTAATGTTCCAAGGCAGTCTCTACTTCTATTTAGGCCAAGGTAGGGGCAATTTATTCTGCTGAAGCCATGGTGTAGCAGCGAAGGTTCTGGTTGATTCTTCTTGGATGGTGTTTTTTGATATATACATTTTTAAACACTTTATTGTAAATTGGTTGAAAATTTACAGAACAGACCAGTTTTCCAGTCAACAATTCATACACATTTTGTTTTATGACTCCTTTTACAATCCCCACAAAGCAACATCATACATCCCACTGCCTTTATGACTTGATTGGGCAAAGGGAATGATACCGCAGCCCAGAGTGGAGTTTCTGGCCATGGAATTGATGTGAATGGGGGTTAGCAGGCCAGTGGGTTGAGCTCAGGAAGCCTGATTTGCTCTCTCCTCTCTGTAGCACTACATAGTCTCTCCAGAAACCAGGATGTCACCCTGTCCTGGCCATTGTACAACAAACATGTATTGCTGGTGCTGTCTAGTAGTATTAGGGACCATTTGGAAAATAGAAGCCCTCAAGGAATTAGCAAGTCTTTTTTGCTTTAGGACTCAGGTCAACAACCTCTTTAAGAAAGATGCAGATATTTCAGGCTTTTGCTAGCCATGTGGCCCTTGTCTCAACTACTCGCCTCTGCCACTGGAATATAAGACCAGCCACAAATAGTACAGAAACTAGTCAGCATGGCTGTGTTCCAATGACACTTGATAGATGGACACTATAATTTTAATTTCTTATAATTTTCACATGCCACAAAATGTTACTCTTCTTTTGCTTTTTTCTTCTTCTTTCAAGGATTTAAAAATATAGATCTCTTAAACCAGATTTAGTACACAGGCTGTAGTTTGCAGATATCTGCTTTCGAAGATACGATCAGGGTTTCCTTGAAGGCTTTCCTTGCTGTTAAGCAGATATGCATCCCGTGTTTGACTTTGGAGGATCTCATATGTACCTGAGCAGATTATCACCACCTGTGAGCTTGTCTTTCCTGGGCTTGTCTTCGGCCCCCACTAAGAAGCACCCATTCACAGAAAACATACTGTCTATTCTTCAGGAGATGTATTGACCAGATCTTTCATGGCATTTATTTCCTCCTAGGGATAGGGTGGTCAGCTACACACTTGGCCGCAGGCTTCCAACAGATCATGTGAGTGGACAGCTGCAATTCCGATTTGAGATCACTTCCTCCATCCACCCAGGTATTTTCAGCATGCTCTTCACGTTTTGTCCTGTGCTAGTGGCATCTATGGTTCCTTTCTCAAAAATATAATCACCATGATTCTCTCCAGAAATAACCTAGGTTTGTGGTTCCCTATCTTCTCCATTTGAGGCCCAGAAGCCAGTGACCTGTTCTGGAAGCCAGATTGCTATCCTCTTGATGGACCCGAAGGTAGAGGATTAGACAGTGAAGTGGGCATTGACAATGAGGCCACTGTGGGTGTGGAACCCAACCTAGTGTATCTTGTTCGCCTTGCGCTCGTCATAGGACCTAGCACATAGGAGGTGTTCAGTATATATTTAATCATTACATGCATATATTTAATCAGGACATGACAGAATGAATGGTTGAGAAACCTCTGTTCTTATTGATTAACCCAAATGATGGAGCATATCATATTGCTGAAAAACTAACTGTGCAAGGGATTCTTCCAATACCGGGTTGGAGGTGGGGATTAAAAAGTACAAACTGGACAGACAACTTCACGATCATCCACTGTTTTTCCATCAAAATGTATTTCCAACTAAGAATGATGAGATGCCTCATGATTCCACTTTGGCTCCTCTACCACAACCTCTACACAAATAGCACACACTGCTGAAAAACGGTAGGTCCTCTGGGGCCATATTGATGAATTGCTGCTAGAATTAATGAAACTTTAGTGAAATCTGAGCCTGGTGTATACCACTACCCACCCAGTAAACTCAGCTGCACTTTTCTTTGCCTTATTGTACAACTCGGATTATAAGAAAAGATTTTTCCTTTCAAAATTAGCCTTTTCCTACATTCTGCAAATAAAATAGACTCTCTGCAATGTAACAATATGGATGGCTTGATGGTTCCCAGGAAGATTGTTGTTGTTGTTATTGTTTCTGTTAGGTCTCTGTTGGCATAGTTGTTAAATTTGGGGCTGATAACACAAGGTCAGCAGTGCAAAGCCACTAGTAGTTCCATGGGAGAAAGATGAGGGAGGCTCTCTCTGCTCCTGTAAGGGGTTACAGCCTCCAAAACTCAAAGGGGCGGATCTACTCTGTCCTGTAGGGTATGAGTCCAATTTGACTTGATAGCAGGGAGAGACCTTTTTGAGTGAATTGCACTAGTGCATGTGAGATGGGGAAGTTCGCCTTTGGCAGGATCCCATAGGGCACCTGGGGGAAGTAGAGTCTAAAAGTGGTGAACTATTTCTGGTCCAACCAGAAAGTTGTTTCTTTTTCTATTATGGTAAGCTCCAAAGTTGGAGGGTTCACAGCCTGTGTTATTAAATGACAGGCTGCTCCCCTCCATCCTGTAGCGCTTTTCTTCTCTCTGGTTGCCTAAGAACCTGGTTACCTCACCTGCAGACCCCAGCCATAAGAAATACTCGGAGCTGGTATAATTAGCTTTGCCAGGAATGATCAAGGATTTTTAAGTTACTCTTTTCCATCTCTGGAAGTCAGTCTATGAAACAAGTATTTGTCAAGTCCTACTATGTGCCAAGCTCTAAGAGAGTTGCTATGTTTTGGACGTTGTGACAATAAATTAACTCCCTTGAAGCATAATTCTGAGATATATCCAGGACTGCAAATTTTCCTTTAAACTAGGATAACAATTCTTACAGACTTTTTCTCTGTTTTTCATCACAGTCTGGGCCAATAACACGTTCTCATCAACCCCTATATCCGGTACCTTAAGGTGGAAATTCAACCCCTCAACTATGGCTTTACATTCTCAGTAGCCCATACTAACAGCACAATGACCTTTTCTGGAATGACGTGCCTCGTTTTGTTTCTTTTTCTTGCCAGCAGATGATGAAGAGATGTCCCTGAGCACCGAGCCTGAGCCCGCGGGAATTCGGGACAGCCTCGGGAACAACCCAGTGGCCAGCAGCCGCCCGGAGCCGCCATGTGATGCCCCAGGCCCCTCGGACAGCGCGAAGCCAGAGCCGCAGAGTGAGGAGGGATGTGCCCTAGAAGGTTCAGCAAAGGAGAGCCTGGAGCTGGCCAAGCCCCTGGAGGACGAAGCCATGGGCACCAAAGCAGAAGAAGACGGTGCGAACCCTGCGGAGCCTGAAAGGCCTGGGGAGCTTCTGGCCTCGGGGCAAGAGGACCCGCTGCCCACCCCGAATGCTGACGAACCAGCGGCCAGGCTGGACCTGGGGGCTGAGGCACCAGCCGAGCGGCCGCTGGAGGAGGGGGAGGCCCGAGGCAGCCCGGAGGAGCCCGAGGCCCAGGAGGAGGCCCCGGCTGAGAGCCTGCAGGGAAAGGAGGAGG